TCTGAACGCTGTGGACGAAGCTTTGTCCGGAAAATAGTAAAGGCTGCATGTGTAGGCATGTTTTTAGTGTTTAATAAAACCAGGTTTCCGACCTCAAAGCTTTTCACGTTGACTCTTCCTTTTTTATCTGCATATTCTTTCATCTATCGCATCACGAACGTACCCTGGCTGGGAAACAGAAAGTCATCAGCTTCTTTACGGATCGGACATCAGCAAGCCGTTTGGTCATTCCTCCCCCACCAAACCTTGAGCCATGGAATGGCGTCGTCAGCGGGGCGTGAGTATTTACAAGCCTGTACAAGTAGAACGGTGTGTAGCCATTAGATAAATAAAATCTTCGAGTGGCAACACAGCGCATTAGCACCTCAGTGTCTCAGAGCAGACGCTGGTGAGGACGTCTCCAACGACGCGATTTTAGCGCTCATCTTGAGCATCGGTCTAGGGATTGGTCCGCTGTTGACATAGTCAACTTGGTGCCCAGCACCCTGACGATTGTCGACCAAAATTTTTCAGTGAAGCACGAATCTCTATCAAAGACAATTGAATCCGGGAGATCATGCAGTCAAAAGACACGGTCGACAAACAGCGTCGCTGTAACCACACCGTCGATGGTGTCCGGCACTGCCGCATGATAAGCCATCTTGCTCAAACGGTCTACAAAGGTAAACACATTCTTGTTGTTCGCCGGGTAGTTCGGCAGGCCAAACACAAAGTCAATACTCATGGACTGCCAACACCAGGAGTGTACCGGCTAACTGGCCAGCGGCGCCACCGTATTCGGAGAGGGTTGCACCCTCTGACACGTCTCACACGTCCGCACATATGTGATCGTCCACTTGTACAGCTTGGGCATCCAATAGTGGCAACTCACCCAGCTGTACGTCTTCCTACGATCGAGATGACCACTAAGTGGGGTGTCGTGGGCGTCATAGACGATACTGTATATATATCTTCATCGTAACGAACCACAACTCGTGGCATATTCGTTGAATCGGTGCTTAAGACGGCAACCCAATACTCAACGAAAATCGGTGTAACCGTGCGCTCAATCGCGCCAACAATTTCTTGTCCGTTTTTTTAAAACGCCTTGTTTTATGAGCTTGGAGCAGCGCTACACACGTACCATCACCCGAGAAGAGAAGAGAAGAGAAGAGAAAAGAAGAGAACTCTTCTCTTCTCGCGTATGCGGCGCGGATCAAACCCGTCACTGGCGCGGTCAGCGTCGTGATATGAGCAAGCTCATAGTCCCGCTTGCGTGACAACGCATCATCCAAAGCATTCTGCAGTCCTGGCTAATGCGTCATCTCAAAGTTATATTCTGCAAAGAATGAAAACCATCTGGACATCCTGAACGAGTGGTGAGGCGACTGAGTCGCAGTGCGTAAAGACGCATGATCTGTGTAGATCTCCAACGGTTTTGAGCCGAGCAGGTGCACCCTGAACTTGACAAGCGCATACTTCATCGCAAGTAATATCTTGTCGTGGACTGGGTAGTTCCTCTCCGCAGCCTTTAGATGACAGGATTCAAACGCGATCACTCGAACTCGACCCTCGGCGTCTGCTTGTAGTGCTGCACACCCTATGGCAAAGTCCAAAGCGTCACAGACGACAGTCGGGGTCTGGCAACGCCAGCAGTGATGCATGAAAAAGGCTGTCATTGACCCTATTAAAAATCTTCCGATGCTTGGTGTCCCTACACCATTCTGTATCCTCTCTAAGGAGATTCGACAGTGGCCGTGCCGTTTTCGCATAATTTGCGCTAGCCTTGTGCAAGTAGTAGGCGAGGCCAAGCCACTTGCGCAAGTTCTTTTGGTTCTTTGGAACCGACCAGTCTACAATGGTCTTAACCGTAGCGGAATCCGCTCAAAGGCCACGCTTCGCAATGAAGCACCCTGAAAAGAAATTTTCTATCGCGACAAAAATGCACTTATCCGCGCTTGCATACAGCTGATTTGTGCGCATGCACTCGAGCTCCGCTCTTAAGTGGACAATGTGTTTATTCTGTCTTTCCATGCTACGCACGCCTGTGGACGAAGATGTCAAAGTATGTCTGTGTATATACCCGATGGGCCTGAACTGCGTCACAAGACGATTAAATATTGCTGGTGCATTTGAAAGACGCTGGGACATTACCCGCCAATCCCACAGCATGCCGCTCGGAGAACTCACCGTTGTCAGCAGAATGGCACTCGCTCTCATGAGCAATTGGTAATAATCATCGACCCAGTCGAGTGTGCTGTACTCTGTCCAGCCAACCATAGTGATCTGGAGAGCATTCTTTCTAGAAAATAACGTTTGTGCCGGAATGGTGGTAGCGTTTAGCTTATTATAAGCGTGATGGATACGCCACTTGCCGTTCAGCTTCCGGACACAGAACGTGGGTGTCGAATAGGGAGACTTGCTATTCCTGCGTCGTGCTTTGCACGGAAAAAGGCGCCAATGACGCCACACTGCTCTTTGAGCAGGGGCCAATCGCGTGTTACGCAGTTTTTGGCTCCTGGAACCAGGTCAATCTCATGACGCACACCTCGGTCCGGAGATAGGACCGACGGCAGGTCTTTGAAGACGATGTCTTAGAATTCCCTAACCAAAAATGATACGGATCTGAAGAATTCGTCAAGATCGACGATCCAGTTCGTGCGCTCAGCACCTTCTTAGTGTTCTCCAGGATAGCTTCATTCAGACGCGACGACGAATTAATCTCCTCGTTTGGTCTTAAAATGACCACTTCGGCTAAATTGTCTGCTTTCAAGAAACCGCCAAACTCTTTGAAGGACATTTCGTCCAGCTCATGAAGAGCATCCACTGCGGGAATATCCTCGATAGTGACGTCGCCGTCTTTTTCTCCTGTCTTACCGTTGACAAAGGTACGCAGCTGTGTGCTATCTTTTACGGAACACAAACCCTGTGTCAGGGTCAACACCCTGCGTTTTGCAGATATCATACGGCTTTGCCGTGTCCTCTCTATAGAGGTTTACGTATCATCGATACCAGTAGGAACACGCACTAGGCGTCGTCGAGTGTCCCCACTCCCTGCTTCATCGGAGCCTTGATGTTATAAACAACATCCGACGAAATGCTGCTATTTTCGCCGTCTTCGTCCAGTGGATAACGTGCCACTCCACGCGCATCGGAAGGGCCTTGCCCAGGATGCCTCGGACCTCGTCAGATTATGCTAGGCTTGGCATGCAGCAACTGCTTCGAAGCGTGAATTTTTCAGCTAATAATGTGCCACTCCACGTGCATCCCAAGGGTCTCGCCCATGATGCCTCGGCCCTTGGCCAACCATGCCACTCGTAGCATGTAGCGACTGCTCCGATACCTGAGCAGTGCTCAGTGAGTTACGTGCCACTCCACGTTCAGCCCGCGAGCCATGCTCGGGACTCTTGTCCAAACTATTTCAGTTTTTGAGAGCTCGGATATCCCAATATCCAGCACATTGACCGTCCCGGTTCAGTGCCCGCGCCAATAGCGCTTCTGCTTACAAGCAATGGGTTCATGACTGACCGAAGTTCCACTAGGAGATGTGCGCATTGCGCTCAAGGTATCCGACCTCCGATTAATCCAAGGCTCATGGTGTTCCAACCTGTCATACCAAGGATAAGGTCATATCTTGCATCCAAGTCTAAGACTAGACAGCGTTCCACGCTATCTAAGTCAAAGAAATCGACACCGAGTTCCGCAGGGACTTTCAACCCAGTGGCTAATGTCCCCACCGCTAAGCGAACATTGACGGTGTCACTCGACCGCGCTTCCAGCGCCTTGCATACAGCTGACTTCCTTCAAGCGTAGAGCGGTCGAGTCTATTGCCCGACGCACCAAAATCGATAAGGATTATTCATGGCTTGTCAAAGCCCTTCACAGTCGCTTTTACGACCAGCAAGCCCGGCTTGCACACAAGTCCGTGTCCAAGAGTACGGAGCTCTTCGGGGCTCGACCCTGCTACCACCCACCTCTTAAAGGCTTAGCAGGACTTAATCCTCTCCCAGTTGGGCGCCCCGCACCTACTGAGTGTTCTCGTTTCGGCGCGACAACCAAAATCGATTAGAAGCGGAACGTCGCCATGCGCAAGGGACAACCCGTCCGATGGGGTCTTCACAAACAAAATACTCTCGGATGTCTACACGCTGCTTAGCAGCACGGAGTTCTTCCTCCTCCTTCTCAGCATAGCTGACGCCTTGGCTCAGACCCACTCGACGAGCCCTGAGAGTCTGCATTTCAACCATGCCGTGCAGAGTTGAAGTTGAATTTGGCATTTGATGCCAATTTCGCCACTTCTTCAAATGAAGACGGATGCACTTTGAAGACTTCCGTCCTGGCCACGCTAGTGCGAAAGCCCTGCATAAAGGTGGTCACTGCGACCGCTTCAGGGAGAGGATCTGCTGCCATCCTGGTAATGAGAATTCTCAACTCTTGGACAGAGTCTTACCCTATGTCTGATTAGGCGGCGAGAACCCTCGCAAAAGCTGACGCTTTGGGCTCCTTCCAGGAAGGAAACGCCGCATCAACCGAAGCACCGCACGTTAGTGCTCATCGGCGCTGAGCTTGGAGATAGCTAGCGCCACGCGCTATTGCTCGTCATAGAGCACGTCGGATGCTATAGCCATCTCGGCCTCTCTCACCCAGAAATGGAGATTTTCTTAACCTCAATGGTCTAAACGCTCACCATGAGCGGCTTGGGTCGAAAGACGGTGGCGTCATAGACACAGTCAACGCTGACAGCTTCTGCTGTAAGTGCTCTAGCAGAGCGTTTTCTAATTAATATAGTAATATGCATTACTACTGGCAATCCTGCCACGTAGCGGCTTCTTGTTACGGTGTAGCCACACCACTGTCTTATTACACTAATTGTGTAATACACACCTATGTATGATCGCACAGTCGTGTGCGACCCACCCTTCCTCACAAGGGTACGTGTAACTCCGTTTGAACATGTATATAAAATTGTCAACAAAAATCTATATACCATCAAATCAACAGACAAGCGCCATTTGCCACAATTCTCATTTTTGTGCTATCTCCCTCCTTCCAAATTCATTCATGGATCAAAAGATCAGATTTTATTTGGATACGTAATCAATAAAATTATTGTTGTTCGAATTTCGGCAATGCTTCCAATGCTTGTTGTATACTATAACTCCATTCGAGTTGTGCATAGCTCCAAATCTCGAACAGCCCAACTTGCCAAGGCATGAGCATAAGCGCGAGAGAAGACTTTAAAACACGGAATATCCTCGAATGAGATAGAAAGGTTATATTTTCTCCATCGACTACTTGGAAGCAGTCTCCGACCATTAAATACACCACCAACCATGAATGAGTCACTCACCCCTTTATTGATCATCCATCTACAATCACCTTGAATTAGCTCTTAGCTCCGACCTCTTGAAACATGGATGAGTCCTCAGTTTCACAGAGAGACTAGCTATCATCACTGCTACCGTCATCGACGTATTGAACAAACACAGCGACCACAAAAAAGCTATCTTTAAGTGCTACCATGGCATGCAATATCGCAATCCCATGTGGTTGATAGACAAAACTCGCAGCAGGCAACCAGGGAGTCGTCTTATATAGTGTGGTTCTCCATTTCTCACAGAAAATGGGAAAATAGACCAATGATTGGAATGATTTACTTTATTAAACCAAAAATGAAAATGGCCGAAAGAGGGGGGGGCAAGTAGCGCTATCCATTCAGTAACCTACCAGCTTCAAATCATGTTTTTGTTTAAATTATCTGATCTCTCTTTCAGAAGCTTTCCATTTTCTGATGCAAAAGGTAAAGTCATTTTGACGCCGTAAAGTACAGATGATGCGAATGTAAGCTAGATTTTGTAAAGCTTAAGACTGACAGTGTTACTGAAGCACTAAGCTAAGCTGTGATTTGATATAAACCAGCTACTTTGTCTCTTACATCTGTATGGTTTTATATCAGTTGAGATGAAAAAAATCATATTATTTAAATTGCAAGAATTTACGAGAAGCTCGCCCGTATTGAAATAATCAAAAGGATAAGCTGTTGGACGGCCGAACGGCGGGCAGCTGAAGGACCATTGGGGCCTCGGTCGATCGGCTGTTAGAGGCAGCCTTCCTAGACAGAATGGGAAGCTCTGATATACTGTCTAGTCAACTTGAGAGAAGCCGAAATACGATGTTTGAGTCATTAATATTTTTATCGCTCATAGCTAAATTTTATTTAAGCGTTTCGTTATTCTTTTGGAAATTGTACGTACCAATCACACCAGAAATTAATTCTTTTTCCCATCATGGCACTCACTGTTGTCCGACGAACGGTAATGATTAAAGTGTAATGTGTAAAAAACCATTGTGTGGAACGTACTCCGTTGCGAGCAGCTGACGGACGTTATCTCGTCGAGATCTGCACTTGGGCATTCTAGAGGCATGATATAGAGTGATAAGTCCTGAGGTCCTGACATATGTCGAAGCTATATATTCTAAAAGAAACGCTAAAATAAGGCAGCACGAGGTAATTTGGCTTTGTATCAGTATAGTAAAAGTAAGCTTGGTCTTCTTTACATAAACAATGAAGGTAGCACATAAATAAACCGGTATGATATACTACATATTGTGAGTTTTATCAATACGATAGAGTTGTCGTAACTGTCATATTTTACCTATAGGAAAAAAGACAAACAAAAGAGGATGTGAGAGAAGGATCTAAGCTGGGCGAAATTTCATCACGCATAACAAATTGAATACTTGTACTCGAAGGCATCAGGTCTGAATACGGTTTGGACTATTCAATATAGCATATGGATCTGCCATCGTCGATAGTCGAAGTCGATGTAGTACGTGCGTTTCAGCCGACACCCAGTGATTCCATCCAATCAAATCTGCTGTGATCCTTGGACTAAACCTCCGCTTTGTCGCTTCTTAGTAGTTGTGGATCAAGAATTGATTAACTCACTTTGCATTTTGCCATCTACTTTTCAAGATACCCATTCAGTCAGTCCATATCGTTTTGTAATCCACACCAGTGGACAAAAGTCGCCCAAACTGTTGAGACTAATTTGCAGTAGAACGCAAAATGTTAAGTGAATATATTATAGGTCCTTAGTTCGCAAAAACGCTTGCTACCTCTAAGCCAATCAATTTATACACTAGGCTCACTATACTAGATCCTTATTTACTCTAGCCAATCAGCGAATCTAATTGCGTCCGTAATCACTTAGTCCGTAATTACTTAATGTGACGTACTTGTAATAAGTATGACGTCATCCGCCTGTTCAACATGCAT